TCCCCTTAATGAATTTGAACAATGCAAGAACTACAGTTTTAGCAGAATAAAATGGTACCATCTTTTATTTCGTTGCCTTCTCGTCAGCTGCTTACATGGCAAAGACATTATTAAATATATCTACAACAACAATTTTAACATACTTGCACAGAGTTCAGTTTAAACAAAAATCAATCGATCAATATACGCATACACTAAAAATATATACATATATAAATATGCAATATTAACCACTATTCCGAACAATAATAATCAAACACAATGGAAACTTTTAGCATTTCACATTCGGAGGAAAGAGAGGTGAAATTATCCAGTTACCAGGGCAAAGAAAGGCTGATAACCGCTTCTTTCTGGACGCATAAATCAGGTTTCATGCGCTTGATGGAAATGGCTTCAGCAAACTTAAGGAGAATGGAGCTATTTTGCTTATTGATAATTTTGAACGACTTTTCAACGTCCACCTCATGACCCGTGTCGAGAAGATGCCTGGTGATGGCACTATTTAAAGCATTTGTTCCCTTTAGACGTAAGCTTTTTGGTACATGTTCAGAAAATCGTAGATATGCCCTTCTTTCTGTCCTTCCAATGTAACTGCTCCCGCAGATACATGTAAATTTGTATACACAGTTGGAGGTAACATGAGAAGGATATCTATCGATTTTCGATTGCACCAAAGAGTAAGTTGTTCGATAGACGGGAACGAGCTTAGCTGCAGGATACGCTATGGCTAGTGATGTACTCAGCCTTCTGTTGATCATCGCTGCAATATTTTCACCTTTATAATCAAGCTGAAGGTAGACTGGCTTTTTTTCCACTGTGATTTGTTTTACTCTTTTGACTTCAGATCTTCCATACTTGTTGATGAACCTTTGAGGATACCCATTTCTCTTCAATATATTTTCAAGGAACTCAAACTCCTCCTCTAGTTTCTCTGTAGAGCATATTCTCCTTGCTCTATAGTACAAAGTTTTGACCAGACCACGTTTAAAGCTATGTGGACAAAAGCTATTAAAATGTAAGTATTGTCCTTTCCATGTGGTCTTTCGATAAATTGACTTTTGAAGACCACCGTCTTCTAGGCGTTCCATGGCTATGTCGAGGAAGTGAAATTTTCCGTCACTTTCGTGTTCCATAGTGAAGTCAATATTGGCGTGTGCACCATTGAATAATCTTAGTAAGCGTGAAGCATGACTTTTATTTTTGCACACTATAAATGTGTCATCAACATAACGACAGTAGGAGGATGTTTCGTCGATTGCATGCTTCAGCTTTGTTCTTTCAAGGTTAGACATGAAAATATCTGCTAAAACAGGGCTAAGTGGACTGCCCATAGCTACACCATCTATTTGGCGGTAAAACGTGTTGTCAAATAGGAATTGCACATCCATGGTGCACATAAGCAGTAGGCGTTTGAATTCAGATTCTGGGAGTGGGAGAAGATCGGACTGCTGACAGATGATTTCAATGGTTTCATTGACTGGAATCATTGTGAATAGGGAGGTTACATCAAATGACACCATGAAGTTATTTAGAACGTTCATGTGATTCACACTCTCAGAGAAATGAAATGAGTCTTTCACCGTGTGCACGCCTAGCCGTTGACGAATAGGCTCCAACTTCTCCGCAAGCCAACGTGCCACCTTATGTTGGGGCGAGTTGATCATCGAAAGTATGGGTCTCAAAGGGACTTGTTCTTTGTGTGTCTTCGGAAGGCCATACATGTGTGGCAAACGGGACCCTCGAGGTTTCAAATCATTGTATGTGTTGTTGTTAATCAATTTCTTCTTTAGAAGATCTCTCAAGGCGTTTGTGATACGTTTTTCGACTGCATCTGTCTTATCTTTCTGGCAACTGTCAACTTTAAATCTCAACGGGTCATTTAGCACAGCTTTCATCTTTGCGATGTAGTCCTCTTTGTCCATCAGCACCACACCTGAGCCCTTGTCAGGTCTCAATATAACAATTTTGTCATTATTCTTGAGAGCTTTCAATGCTCTTAGATGCTCTTCAGAAAAGACTTTGGAATATGACATTGGAGAAATGAGGTATTGATTTGCAACGTCGACGAGCTTCGATTTGAACCAGCTCCTCTTGTCATCATCAACTGGAGTGAGGTCACTCAACTGATAGAATAAGTTTTCGAATTGAACTGCGACATCAGTTCTTTCGACAAACTTATTTGGGATGTGAAAGTTAAATCCAAGAGAAAGTGCTTCCATTTCAATGCGATTTAACTTCAGACTCGACAGATTACAGATAAACTCCTCAGGATTTTCTGGGAAAACGTCACACAATTTCTCCTTTGTCAGGGATTTCGAAAGAGTTTTGTAAAAATTTTCACATGTTTTCTGTTGAAGTCCTTGGATGAAATTGATGAATTTGATCCGACATACTATACTCAAACTATTGACGACGCCATCGAAAGAACGGGCTTCAGTTCTCAATTTAGAAATCAGAGATTCTGTTGATTCAATATGTGATTTTGTAATGCGCCGGAGGTTCTTGAGAGATGGGCGTAATTTGCAAGAACGTACTGACTTGATTAGATGACGAGGAAAGCAGTGTGACCGCAAGCAGTCATGGTAAAACTTCAAACGAGTCACCTCTCTTGATATTCTGCACCGAATTGTCACCAAACGATTCAGTGATTTAAAAGATTCGTTGGGGAGGCGTTTTTTCAGAAATTTCATACAATTATTTCCCTTAATGAATTTGAACAATGCAAGAACTACAGTTTTAGCATTGTTCAAACACATAGTATTTTTTTGTCAATGCAGTATATAACCGTGGGAAATGTATTCTGTCTTTAACATCAAATCAAATGTTCAAACAGATATATTGTATGCAGTATTGATCTGTGGGAATAATATTCCAGTGGCAGATATTGTCAGTATCTCACTTCCACATTACAACTAATTTCTCACCTTAATCAAGGCTTCTTCACTTCACTTTCGCAGTCTTTATTGCTATCATCACCACATTCTTTTTTCGGACAACACTTGACCTGATATTTTTTTTGTAATCCTAACACCAATTCACTTATTTAGTTATCCTCAAAAGTTTTGTAATTCATTGGCTTCAACTCTAACCTCTTAGCACATCATTTTATAATTATCTTTATTCTTCGATGAACATAAACTGCTTTTCCTCATGAATTAATGGTTATATTTCGCGAGAAAATATAAATTACATTAGAGATTTAAACATATATTTTCTCCATGACAAGAAGTAGTTGATTGGATCTAAGAGAAGAATGTAAGATATTAAAATAATTGAAAGATTTAAGATGACTGTGTTCTTCTTGTGGATCTATTTTTGTCCCCCATTTATCTACTTTTGTGTGCTTCATGGGGTATGGCAACTTGAACTGCTACACTTCTGTGTTAATTTCTATGTTTAAATTCAGTTGGTCAGGAGACCAACCCACTGATTTTATCACTTTCACATTCTGCTAATGAAATGCTGATATGCTTCTATTTATCTACTATTAATTAATTTGGAGTGTATGAAATAATACTATTTCACTAACGGCTTATTGGAAGTACCTTTTGAAGTACAGCTTATAATGTCACCATATATATTTAACGCACGTTTCAACCAATTAGGTTAGCGAGTAGTGATAGCTTCCAATACTGGATGAGTTAGTCCAGCTGACAATTAATGTGCATTCTTTAAATTCGCCAACCATGCTTGAAGAAAGTGTTTTTATAGTTTCAGAAACCTTCGTAAATCTTCTATCATCAACAGTCATTTTTCGTCGCTCTCTAAAATGTCATAGGGTACAATAAGTCCACAAGAAACATGAAGTTATTCGGGTGTGTAACAAGCCCATATCAACATACAAAGCGATACGCGGACAATTAGTATGTCACAGGAAAAACTTGACGAAACCAGGATCGTTATAAAGTGATGAAGTAAAAATGAGTGACGATGATCAAAGTCACATTGTAACATCAGAAGGCAAGTCTCGTATATATATATATATATATATATATATATATTATATATATATATATATATATATATATATATATATATATATATATATATATATATATTTATGACCGATCACCGAGCTTACGATTTTGTTTACATTAACCGTCACGAAACAGAGTATTTAAATATACATATATTATTCTGTTGCTAATGCAGTAGTGAACTGTGGGAAAGTTACCACAAACAAATACAATGATTCCTTCTGACTGTGAGAATAATATTCCTTTGGAACCCACTGCCTGTAACACACCAACACAATATGACCAGTACTCAGAAAATGCATCAACTTGGCCTAATTTTTTCAAGAATAACGATACTGAACTGTAAGTATATTTCACTTAATATTTAAAACGCAGACATGGTACAATGTGGGCACGAGGAGATACACTAACCAATATTCTAAAAACAATGCATCGAGAAAATATGCAGAAAATGATGGGATACCATCCAGAAAGCAGGCAAGCATATTTGTCAGTATCATCCAACACTCATCAATTGATTGTGCTTACAGGAAGAAGGGAGGTGTAGAATGTTCACCACTGATTGCTGCTCTTACCTACTAATTATAGTCTTCCAAGTAACCGAGGCTAACCTAAGACAAATATCCTTTATCCCATAATTCTACATAATGGATTGACCAGTTCTCTGCCTTTTCTTCACTCAGTAGCAAGGCTAGCGAAAAGAACAGAGCCCCCCCCCCGGGGTAATAGTCGCAGCACAAGTCTAAGCAACCAAAGCAGGTGTTTCCAGATGGTGACAGATAATGAATGGTGGTCCCTACCGTATCCAAACACACGCTGCATGACTTCAATATTACTCACACGATGATTCCATCCAACGCAAACAATTCTAAGGAGGAAACAATGACTGAATACACAGAGTCGCCGCACATGTCCAGGTTTCACAGGAGTAAAGAAACTGAGCACACTGAAGCATTGCATACCAGGCCTCTGATAGCCAGGCTGTCATCGAGACGTCACCGGATGTGGCCCAAACTGGCGTATGCCATCCTAGCTTTCAGTTTGAGGTAAGGCATTTCATCCGTCGCATCACCGTCAGCACTTGCAAATCTACCTAGATACGCAAACTTGTTGACAAATTCTAGCGGTTCACTTGCAAATATGAGCGTAGGTACAGGCTTCTGCCGATCTTGCGGTGGCACTTTGCACTGAGACGGCGCAAACCAAGTAATATATTTTCAGACGTTGATCGCACGTTCGACAACTTGTATTTTATCGATACATACCGCATAGTTGAGGTCGAAAAGCTGTTCTCCAGGAGACAGATCTACACTGCCACAATGCACGCCCTCCAGACCTGACATTAAAATGTCGTCGATGCCAAATTCTGAGAGGAATTGAAATTGGGTGACCCTGCTAATACGCACTGTTGGTTTGTGATAGTTAGTTGTATCTCCTTATTCTACCTGAGGTGCTTCTATTCGGGGCTTTCAAAGTATTGAAAAATTGTTCAGGAAAACTTCTCCCTTACAGATTGTCTGTCTGTTTTCGACATAGAACTTTGCATCGATGTGCGGCAGTTCGAGTCGCCACACTCCATGTAGCACACAGAGCAAGAGAAGAAAGTAGAAGAAATGTATAATAGAGACAGTAAACAGAGGTGTGTGACAAAGGAATAGTAGTAACGAAGAACGAAATAGTTTCATTGGAAATCATAAGTCACAGGAAGTGGATGCATCTGCGCCATTGAGAACGATTTTGAGTCATATACCCATTTGTCCCCAACCATTGGTTTTTACCGTCCCAGGGACCCCAACTAGGAAGTCTACACCTTCCTACGTGGCTGGCTTGAACTAACTGTTGTGGATTTCATTGACTGGTGCCATGTTTTGGTTTGACCGTCGCTAGCTCTTTTCCAGCCTGGCCCTATATCAGCTAACATCGAGGAAGGCGATGACTAGGCATACGTAACACATGTCCTAACCATCTCAGTTGATGTAGCTTCACAGTCTCGTCTATTGATTTCCCTCCTTACCTAGCACTCGACGACTAACCTCAATATTGCTCACCTTATTATACCACTTCACAAGGGATCAGAGCGCAGGGACCTATGATCAAAGACAGCTTATCTTTTCATGTCTTCCACTCTCAATGGCCACGTCTCACAGCCATAAAGGAGGACGGACTGGACTGGTGAGTCCTTTGGCCGATAGTCAGCCGAATATCTCGTCTACGCCAGAGACGGCGTAAAGTGGCATATGCTAAACTAGACCTCTGTATCCGTGATGAGATTTCGTCAGAGATCAACCCATTGGCACTGGCTGATGGTATTTCCCAAGTAAGTAAGTGAATCAGTCAACATGCCCTACCACTTCACTTTCTATTTCTAAACTAGGAGTCAGTGTGGTCCAGTCCTGTAGCAGCATCTTGCATTTTGCAGGGGCGAATCGCATGCCAAACATACGAAGATTGCTGCTCAAGGTGTTCAGAAGACTCTGCATTTTGTCACCATCCTCCCCTAACAGGACTATGTCATCTGCGTATTCTAAGTCCATAAGATTATTCCCTGGTAACAAGTCGATTTCTAAGTCATTACGTTCAGTTAAGGATACTTCCATCAGCATATCTATGATGAAGTTAAACAGAAATGGGGAAAGTGGACATCCCTGTCGGACACCACTGGTTGTTACCAATTCAGATGACAATTCCCCATAAGCCCTTACACGACTACGTGAGTTTGAATAGAGTGCCTTGATTAGTGCAATGTATTTTCTTGGCACTCCCCTCACAGTCAGACATTGCCATAGTACCTTTCGATCCACGGAGTCGAAGGCCGCCTTCAAGTCAAGAAATATGACAATTGTTGGACGCCGAAAAGTGTGTCTATTTTCTAGAATCTGTCGAAGAGTGAAGATATGATCTATGCACCCTCTACCTGGTCTAAAGCCTCCTTGATTTTCCCTTGTCTGTTCCTCCCGAGTTCTGCTTAGTCTATGCATGATTACTGAGCCTAGGATTTTAGAGATTATGTTCGTTAGGCTGATCCCCCTATGATTATCACACGAGGAATTGTTTCCCTTCTTGAATATCGGTATAATAAGTGACTTACCCCAGTCTGATGGGACTGTCTCTGATTCCCAGACTTTGCCTAGTACCTCAGTTAATCTACAAACTAGTATGTCACCCCCATATTTAAACACCTCCGGAATAATTCCGTCGGGTCCTGCCGCTTTGCCTCGTTTCAAATTACTGATAGCTTTTGCCTATTCGCTCACATTCGTGTTCATCATAGTTCTCCTGAATCTCTTTTTTCCTCGTTTTCATCTACCTTTGAGTGCTAAAGGGAGTGTGGTAACTTGTGTCGCTTCACATATGTGCGAAGTTCGATGTGGAAACTCTGTTAGTCAGTTTGAGTAAGAGAACACAATAATAAATCATGTAATTTTCCTAACACTCCATGCAGGAATTCTTACTGCAACAACAGAAGGCAAAATACGGGAGCCAAGGTATATTTCTCATTAATCAAACAGTCCTTTAAATAATATATATATATATATCGTTTATATTATTTAACCAATCGATGAGCGTTCGATTTCGGTTAGCATCATACATCAAATAGAATGTTTAAATACACATAGTATTTTTTTGTCAATGCAGTATATAACCGTGGGAAATGTATTCTGTCTTTAACATCAAATCAAATGTTCAAACAGATTGTAGCGGTAAATAATTCCCCAAAATTATTGACCACAGCAATCACTCATTGGATGCTGACCACCACTGTTTAAGTCGACTTGTTTAGCTGAAGGCTTCCGGTCAAGCATCCCCGCCATTTGGTACCTCGTCGTGTCACGTGCACGATCACTAGCTAGCTAAGCGTTCGTCTAACGGCTGGTTTTGGTTCGTAAATACATCTATTGGTTTGGACGATCAATTGTTGGCTTTTGCTTTGTCTTTGGTACGCGAGAATAAATTAATTAGAAGTTGTTGAACGAGATATCACGTCAAACCTTTAATATCTCTCAACCTTAAACTGGTGAGCCCAACCGCGAACTTCACCCACGATAAATCCGCCCACCTTTAAACTGGTGAGCCCAACCGCGAACTTCATCTACGACAATTACTCAGATAATCCCGGTGAGTTCGTTCCATTTTGTATTTGTTCTTGTACCATATATTATTCGACATAATTTTCGTCATGAGTGATCTTAGTCCCAAGGTCATCCGTATCCGCTCAACTCCTAAAACCATTCAGCTCGTACCATACTGGCCAGATAATGCTGAAACGTGGTTTCTGCTAGCTGAAGCAGATTTTTGTGAGCATGGGATAACTGATCAACGTTCACAGTTACTTGCAGTTATTCACGCCCTACCGCGGGAATTCAGCAAGTACGTAACATCACAGATGTTGAGTCCCGAGGTAAGTAACTCGTACGAGTTGCTGAAAGCATCCCTCCTCAGGAGAAACGCTCTCACGGACAGACAACGTCTAGATGAATTATTTCGCAACATCGAGTTAGGAGATCAGTCAGCCGTGAGCATGCTGACAAGAATGAAACAAGTCGTCGGCCAATGTCAGTTCGACGAAGGACTGTTTAGAGAACTCTTCTTAACCAAGTTGCCACAATCTGTACAGACCGTACTTGTGACACTTGAGGGTACTGTAATAGAGAACTTAGCTATTACTGCAGATAAGATTCTAGAAATAACTAAACGGTCTGTCCCCGAAATATGCTCAATGACTAAGCAGACTTCGAGTGAGGATCCTGCAATGACAGAGTTATGCAACTCCCTTCAGCAGATGTTTAGGTCAAACATGCATTCTAAATCCTCCAACCGTCGTCCTAAATCTCCTCAACGCAGGAACTCGCGTGGTCGATCTAAGTCCAAACCACGTTCACTGAAAAACCCTGACTGGTGCTGGTACCACAACACCTATGGCCAAGAAGCGAAGTGTTGCCGTAAGCCTTGTAACTTCGGAAATGTCTCAAAGTCTGCGGGAAACTATCCCGCCGGCACGCGTTAGCGGCAACCGTCGCCGGTGGCACTAGCCGCCTACTTTACATCCATGATGTGATAAGCCAGACTCGATACTTAGTCGACACAGGCGCCGAAGTCAGCGTCCTTCCTGCTACAGCAGCAGATCGACAGAAGGAACCTACCTTCAACTTACAGGCTGCAAATGGAAAACCAATCGCAACCTTTGGTAGGAAATACGTCTATCTGAACGTAGGTTTACGCAAACCTATTCGGTGGATTTTCCTTCTCGCTGACGTTACAATGCCCATCATTGGCACGGACCTACTTAATCATCATGATTTACTCGTAGACGTCCGCCGAAAACGACTGATTGACAATACTACTAGTCTGTCTATCAAAGGCATCAGCTACATAGGCCCTAGCTTGTCACCCGTTAAGATAAAGGCAATTCTTGATCCAACTTTTCAACCTATTGTTGACAAGTATCCGGAACTTAATTGCCCGTCGAACGACCTACCGTGCATAACCAGCAATGTTATGCACCACATCATTACCACAGGACAACCTGTGACATCTAAAGCACGACGATTAGCTCCTGACAAACTGAGAATCGCCAGGAATGAATTTGACCATATGCTTAGCCTTGGCATCATTCGACCTTCGAATAGCCCATGGGCATCCCCACTTCATATGGTTCCGAAAAAGGATAGCAACGATTGGCGACCCACCGGTGATTACCGGCGAGTGAATGCCAAAACAACCCCTGATTGCTACCCGTTGCCTCATATACACGACTTGACGGCAACCTTATCCGGCGCGACTATATTCTCCAAAATCGACTTGGTTAAAGCGTATAACCAAATCCCGATGGCAACAGAAGACATCCCGAAAACGGCTATCATTACGCCTTTCGGACTTTTTGAATTTCTACGTATGCCATTCGGTCTTCGGAATGCAGCCCAAACATTCCAACGCTTCATTGACGAAGTATTTCGCGGTCTCGACTTTGTATACGCATACTTAGACGACTGCCTCATTGCCAGTCCAGACAAGGAAACTCACCTTAGGCACTTGGACTTGGCATTTGACAGGTTACGCCAACATGGTGTTACCATCAATATTCAAAAGTGTCAAATCGGTGTTGACTCACTCGACTTCCTGGGTCACACTATTGACTGCAAGGGCATTCGCCCACTGGCTACTAAGGTTGAGCCTCCTAAGAAAAACCGTTCTGGACGCACCGTAAGGTTCCCAGAACATTTGCACACTTATTTGACTTAACGAAGTCGTGTGATTCACGCAACTCACTCGTTTGTGGTACTAACTATTTTTTTTGACGTATAAATTTTTTTATATACAGTACCACCGAACACAAAAAATTTTTTTTCAACAGTTCATGTAACATACACAAAAAAATTAATTATATGTATTTTTTTTCGATGTTCTGAACTTAGCATTATTTTACTGTATAGTAAATGCACATAATTTTTTTTAACCAAAAAGGTCATTTCGTACATTTTCCTCGACATGGTTCTTAGCGTTCTTGTTTTCTTTTCCAGGTGCGACGGGCACTGGACGGGAAACAAACGAAGCACGGAATCCAACGAACAACACCAGGAAGCTATGTACAAACACCCCATTAGCATAGGCAGACAAACCAGTAGGCATAAGACCAAGCCGCTCGGAAGATTTTTTTCACCCGAAAGGGAACCATCGAGTTTTTTTTACTTCCGGCTGGTTCTGTCTTAGGGTCCTCACGACCCCACTAGGGGGGAGTGAGCTGTAGCGGTAAATAATTCCCCAAAATTATTGACCACAGCAATCACTCATTGGATGCTGACCACCACTGTTTAAGTCGACTTGTTTAGCTGAAGGCTTCCGGTCAAGCATCCCCGCCATTTGGTACCTCGTCGTGTCACGTGCACGATCACTAGCTAGCTAAGCGTTCGTCTAACGGCTGGTTTTGGTTCGTAAATACATCTATTGGTTTGGACGATCAATTGTTGGCTTTTGCTTTGTCTTTGGTACGCGAGAATAAATTAATTAGAAGTTGTTGAACGAGATATCACGTCAAACCTTTAATATCTCTCAACCATTAAAAGATATATTGTATGCAGTATTGATCTGTGGGAATAATATTCCAGTGGCAGATATTGTCAGTATCTCACTTCCACATTACAACTAATTTCTCACCTTAATCAAGGCTTCTTCACTTCACTTTCGCAGTCTTTATTGCTATCATCACCACATTCTTTTTTCGGACAACACTTGACCTGATATTTTTTTTGTAATCCTAACACCAATTCACTTATTTAGTTATCCTCAAAAGTTTTGTAATTCATTGGCTTCAACTCTAACCTCTTAGCACATCATTTTATAATTATCTTTATTCTTCGATGAACATAAACTGCTTTTCCTCATGAATTAATGGTTATATTTCGCGAGAAAATATAAATTACATTAGAGATTTAAACATATATTTTCTCCATGACAAGAAGTAGTTGATTGGATCTAAGAGAAGAATGTAAGATATTAAAATAATTGAAAGATTTAAGATGACTGTGTTCTTCTTGTGGATCTATTTTTGTCCCCCATTTATCTACTTTTGTGTGCTTCATGGGGTATGGCAACTTGAACTGCTACACTTCTGTGTTAATTTCTATGTTTAAATTCAGTTGGTCAGGAGACCAACCCACTGATTTTATCACTTTCACATTCTGCTAATGAAATGCTGATATGCTTCTATTTATCTACTATTAATTAATTTGGAGTGTATGAAATAATACTATTTCACTAACGGCTTATTGGAAGTACCTTTTGAAGTACAGCTTATAATGTCACCATATATATTTAACGCACGTTTCAACCAATTAGGTTAGCGAGTAGTGATAGCTTCCAATACTGGATGAGTTAGTCCAGCTGACAATTAATGTGCATTCTTTAAATTCGCCAACCATGCTTGAAGAAAGTGTTTTTATAGTTTCAGAAACCTTCGTAAATCTTCTATCATCAACAGTCATTTTTCGTCGCTCTCTAAAATGTCATAGGGTACAATAAGTCCACAAGAAACATGAAGTTATTCGGGTGTGTAACAAGCCCATATCAACATACAAAGCGATACGCGGACAATTAGTATGTCACAGGAAAAACTTGACGAAACCAGGATCGTTATAAAGTGATGAAGTAAAAATGAGTGACGATGATCAAAGTCACATTGTAACATCAGAAGGCAAGTCTCGTATATATATATATATATATATATATATATATATATTTATGACCGATCACCGAGCTTACGATTTTGTTTACATTAACCGTCACGAAACAGAGTATTTAAATATACATATATTATTCTGTTGCTAATGCAGTAGTGAACTGTGGGAAAGTTACCACAAACAAATACAATGATTCCTTCTGACTGTGAGAATAATATTCCTTTGGAACCCACTGCCTGTAACACACCAACACAATATGACCAGTACTCAGAAAATGCATCAACTTGGCCTAATTTTTTCAAGAATAACGATACTGAACTGTAAGTATATTTCACTTAATATTTAAAACGCAGACATGGTACAATGTGGGCACGAGGAGATACACTAACCAATATTCTAAAAACAATGCATCGAGAAAATATGCAGAAAATGATGGGATACCATCCAGAAAGCAGGCAAGCATATTTGTCAGTATCATCCAACACTCATCAATTGATTGTGCTTACAGGAAGAAGGGAGGTGTAGAATGTTCACCACTGATTGCTGCTCTTACCTACTAATTATAGTCTTCCAAGTAACCGAGGCTAACCTAAGACAAATATCCTTTATCCCATAATTCTACATAATGGATTGACCAGTTCTCTGCCTTTTCTTCACTCAGTAGCAAGGCTAGCGAAAAGAACAGAGCCCCCCCCCCGGGGTAATAGTCGCAGCACAAGTCTAAGCAACCAAAGCAGGTGTTTCCAGATGGTGACAGATAATAAATGGTGGTCCCTACCGTATCCAAACACACGCTGCATGACTTCAATATTACTCACACGATGATTCCATCCAACGCAAACAATTCTAAGGAGGAAACAATGACTGAATACACAGAGTCGCCGCACATGTCCAGGTTTCACAGGAGTAAAGAAACTGAGCACACTGAAGCATTGCATACCAGGCCTCTGATAGCCAGGCTGTCATCGAGACGTCACCGGATGTGGCCCAAACTGGCGTATGCCATCCTAGCTTTCAGTTTGAGGTAAGGCATTTCATCCGTCGCATCACCGTCAGCACTTGCAAATCTACCTAGATACGCAAACTTGTTGACAAATTCTAGCGGTTCACTTGCAAATATGAGCGTAGGTACAGGCTTCTGCCGATCTTGCGGTGGCACTTTGCACTGAGACGGCGCAAACCAAGTAATATACTTTCAGACGTTGATCGCACGTTCGACAACTTGTATTTTATCGATACATACCGCATAGTTGAGGTCGAAAAGCTGTTCTCCAGGAGACAGATCTACACTGCCACAATGCACGCCCTCCAGACCTGACATTAAAATGTCGTCGATGCCAAATTCTGAGAGGAATTGAAATTGGGTGACCCTGCTAATACGCACTGTTGGTTTGTGATAGTTAGTTGTATCTCCTTATTCTACCTGAGGTGCTTCTATTCGGGGCTTTCAAAGTATTGAAAAATTGTTCAGGAAAACTTCTCCCTTACAGATTGTCTGTCTGTTTTCGACATAGAACTTTGCATCGATGTGCGGCAGTTCGAGTCGCCACACTCCATGTAGCACACAGAGCAAGAGAAGAAAGTAGAAGAAATGTATAATAGAGACAGTAAACAGAGGTGTGTGACAAAGGAATAGTAGTAACGAAGAACGAAATAGTTTCATTGGAAATCATAAGTCACAGGAAGTGGATGCATCTGCGCCATTGAGAACGATTTTGAGTCATATACCCATTTGTCCCCAACCATTGGTTTTTACCGTCCCAGGGACCCCAACTAGGAAGTCTACACCTTCCTACGTGGCTGGCTTGAACTAACTGTTGTGGATTTCATTGACTGGTGCCATGTTTTGGTTTGACCGTCGCTAGCTCTTTTCCAGCCTGGCCCTATATCAGCTAACATCGAGGAAGGCGATGACTAGGCATACGTAACACATGTCCTAACCATCTCAGTTGATGTAGCTTCACAGTCTCGTCTATTGATTTCCCTCCTTACCTAGCACTCGACGACTAACCTCAATATTGCTCACCTTATTATACCACTTCACAAGGGATCAGAGCGCAGGGACCTATGATCAAAGACAGCTTATCTTTTCATGTCTTCCACTCTCAATGGCCACGTCTCACAGCCATAAAGGAGGACGGACTGGACTGGTGAGTCCTTTGGCCGATAGTCAGCCGAATATCTCGTCTACGCCAGAGACGGCGTAAAGTGGCATATGCTAAACTAGACCTCTGTATCCGTGATGAGATTTCGTCAGAGATCAACCCATTGGCACTGGCTGATGGTATTTCCCAAGTAAGTAAGTGAATCAGTCAACATGCCCTACCACTTCACTTTCTATTTCTAAACTAGGAGTCAGTGTGGTCCAGTCCTGTAGCAGCATCTTGCATTTTGCAGGGGCGAATCGCATGCCAAACATACGAAGATTGCTGCTCAAGGTGTTCAGAAGACTCTGCATTTTGTCACCATCCTCCCCTAACAGGACTATGTCATCTGCGTATTCTAAGTCCATAAGATTATTCCCTGGTAACAAGTCGATTTCTAAGTCATTACGTTCAGTTAAGGATACTTCCATCAGCATATCTATGATGAAGTTAAACAGAAATGGGGAAAGTGGACATCCCTGTCGGACACCACTGGTTGTTACCAATTCAGATGACAATTCCCCATAAGCCCTTACACGACTACGTGAGTTTGAATAGAGTGCCTTGATTAGTGCAATGTATTTTCTTGGCACTCCCCTCACAGTCAGACATTGCCATAGTACCTTTCGATCCACGGAGTCGAAGGCCGCCTTCAAGTCAAGAAATATGACAATTGTTGGACGCCGAAAAGTGTGTCTATTTTCTAGAATCTGTCGAAGAGTGAAGATATGATCTATGCACCCTCTACCTGGTCTAAAGCCTCCTTGATTTTCCCTTGTCTGTTCCTCCCGAGTTCTGCTTAGTCTATGCATGATTACTGAGCCTAGGATTTTAGAGATTATGTTCGTTAGGCTGATCCCCCTATGATTATCACACGAGGAATTGTTTCCCTTCTTGAATATCGGTATAATAAGTGACTTACCCCAGTCTGATGGGACTGTCTCTGATTCCCAGACTTTGCCTAGTACCTCAGTTAATCTACAAACTAGTATGTCACCCCCATATTTAAACACCTCCGGAATAATTCCGTCGGGTCCTGCCGCTTTGCCTCGTTTCAAATTACTGATAGCTTTTGCCTATTCGCTCACATTCGTGTTCATCATAGTTCTCCTGAATCTCTTTTTTCCTCGTTTTCATCTACCTTTGAGTGCTAAAGGGAGTGTGGTAACTTGTGTCGCTTCACATATGTGCGAAGTTCGATGTGGAAACTCTGTTAGTCAGTTTGAGTAAGAGAACACAATAATAAATCATGTAATTTTCCTAACACTCCATGCAGGAATTCTTACTGCAACAACAGAAGGCAAAATACGGGAGCCAAGGTATATTTCTCATTAATCAAACAGTCCTTTAAATAATATATATATATATATCGTTTATATTATTTAACCAATCGATGAGCGTTCGATTTCGGTTAGCATCATACATCAAATAGAATGTTTAAATACACATAGTATTTTTTTGTCAATGCAGTATATAACCGTGGGAAATGTATTCTGTCTTTAACATCAAATCAAATGTTCAAACAGATATATTGTATGCAGTATTGATCTGTGGGAATAATATTCCAGTGGCAGATATTGTCAGTATCTCACTTCCACATTACAACTAATTTCTCACCTTAATCAAGGCTTCTTCACTTCACTTTCGCAGTCTTTATTGCTATCATCACCACATTCTTTTTTCGGACAACACTTGACCTGATATTTTTTTTGTAATCCTAACACCAATTCACTTATTTAGTTATCCTCAAAAGTTTTGTAATTCATTGGCTTCAACTCTAACCTCTTAGCACATCATTTTATAATTATCTTTATTCTTCGATGAACATAAACTGCTTTTCCTCATGAATTAATGGTTATATTTCGCGAGAAAATATAAATTACATTAGAGATTTAAACATATATTTTCTCCATGACAAGAAGTAGTTGATTGGATCTAAGAGAAGAATGTAAGATATTAAAATAATTGAAAGATTTAAGATGACTGTGTTCTTCTTGTGGATCTATTTTTGTCCCCCATTTATCTACTTTTGTGTGCTTCATGGGGTATGGCAACTTGAACTGCTACACTTCTGTGTTAATTTCTATGTTTAAATTCAGTTGGTCAGGAGACCAACCCACTGATTTTATCACTTTCACATTCTGCTAATGAAATGCTGATATGCTTCTATTTATCTACTATTAATTAATTTGGAGTGTATGAAATAATACTATTTCACTAACGGCTTATTGGAAGTACCTTTTGAAGTACAGCTTATAATGTCACCATATATATTTAACGCACGTTTCAACCAATTAGGTTAGCGAGTAGTGATAGCTTCCAATACTGGATGAGTTAGTCCAGCTGACAATTAATGTGCATTCTTTAAATTCGCCAACCATGCTTGAAGAAAGTGTTTTTATAGTTTCAGAAACCTTCGTAAATCTTCTATCATCAACAGTCATTTTTCGTCGCTCTCTAAAATGTCATAGGGTACAATAAGTCCACAAGAAACATGAAGTTATTCGGGTGTGTAACAAGCCCATATCAACATACAAAGCGATACGCGGACAATTAGTATGTCACAGGAAAAACTTGACGAAACCAGGATCGTTATAAAGTGATGAAGTAAAAATGAGTGACGATGATCAAAGTCACATTGTAACATCAGAAGGCAAGTCTCGTATATATATATATATATATATATATATATATATATATATATATATATATTTATGACCGATCACCGAGCTTACGATTTTGTTTACATTAACCGTCACGAAACAGAGTATTTAAATATACATATATTATTCTGTTGCTAATGCAGTAGTGAACTGTGGGAAAGTTACCACAAACAAATACAATGATTCCTTCTGACTGTGAGAATAATATTCCTTTGGAACCCACTGCCTGTAACACACCAACACAATATGACCAGTACTCAGAAAATGCATCAACTTGGCCTAATTTTTTCAAGAATAACGATACTGAACTGTAAGTATATTTCACTTAATATTTAAAACGCAGACATGGTACAATGTGGGCACGAGGAGATACACTAACCAATATTCTAAAAACAATGCATCGAGAAAATATGCAGAAAATGATGGGATACCATCCAGAAAGCAGGCAAGCATATTTGTCAGTATCATCCAACACTCATCAATTGATTGTGCTTACAGGAAGAAGGGAGGTGTAGAATGTTCACCACTGATTGCTGCTCTTACCTACTAATTATAGTCTTCCAAGTAACCGAGGCTAACCTAAGACAAATATCCTTTATCCCATAATTCTACATAATGGATTGACCAGTTCTCTGCCTTTTCTTCACTCAGTAGCAAGGCTAGCGAAAAGAACAGAGCCCCCCCCCCGGGGTAATAGTCGCAGCACAAGTCTAAGCAACCAAAGCAGGTGTTTCCAGATGGTGACAGATAATGAATGGTGGTCCCTACCGTATCCAAACACACGCTGCATGACTTCAATATTACTCACACGATGATTCCATCCAACGCAAACAATTCTAAGGAGGAAACAATGACTGAATACACAGAGTCGCCGCACATGTCCAGGTTTCACAGGAGTAAAGAAACTGAGCACACTGAAGCATTGCATACCAGGCCTCTGATAGCCAGGCTGTCATCGAGACGTCACCGGATGTGGCCCAAACTGGCGTATGCCATCCTAGCTTTCAGTTTGAGGTAAGGCATTTCATCCGTCGCATCACCGTCAGCACTTGCAAATCTACCTAGATACGCAAACTTGTTGACAAATTCTAGCGGTTCACTTGCAAATATGAGCGTAGGTACAGGCTTCTGCCGATCTTGCGGTGGCACTTTGCACTGAGACGGCGCAAACCAAGTAATATATTTTCAGACGTTGATCGCACGTTCGACAACTTGTATTTTATCGATACATACCGCATAGTTGAGGTCGAAAAGCT